TTTCAGACCTTACAACGACCAGCACGCCATGGGGAGGCAATGAAATGTGGCGACTCACATAATAGGATTATTCACCCTGGAATACCAATCAAGTCTCTTGACGGAGAAGAGAGCTGTGCGGTTACAGCAACGCGGGCTGCACTTGCCAATTACCCCTGCCCCAAATGTTTGGTTCATCACAACGAGCTACATAACATCAATGGAACATTTGAGCCCCGCATTACCAAGACTATGCAGAAGGCTTATCTTGATTCTACTCGAGCGCCAAACAAAAGCGAAGCTGAACGAATCTTACAGAGCCGGGGGCTTCATGCTACGCAGGTAAGTGCATACCCTGTATTCATCGCTGATAATCCTATAAATAATGTATTTTCTATATTTACAGAATTTCTTCTGGTCTTTACACTACTCGGACCCGTATCTATCAGTTTCCTACGACAAACTTCACTCGGACGACTTAGGAAAGTGGGGGAAACACTTGTGGCCCCTGTTGCTTAGTGTTCTAGCCGAAGATGGAGTCAAAGGGCAGCTAGCAAGGAAGTGAGTCTTCATGATTATCATTGAATCATAGCTAAAAACTCGACACCAGCATGCGAAACGTTTCTCGCTGGCGCAACCTTAAACACTTTGGTAATGTCACAACAGTTGATTACGCAGATGGTCAAGTATTTTTTGATATTCTAAAGGTAGACATTTCTCAACGCAGTATTTTCAAAGTACTTACTTTGCTATTTTAGTGTATACTACCTTGTGTCGTTCAGCTTCTGCCCGAAGACTGTTCACTTGTCCACTGCATTCGGGCCTATGCTCAATATCGGACAATGATTGGATTGTCCTGTTTGACTGACGAGCGGCTGCAACAGATAAATAGCATAATATTATCCTATAAGAACACTTGTGAGGTAACTATTCTACATTTGTAGAATCAATGAATTGCTGGCACTAACAATTTACTAGGACGTCTCAAGAGACTACGGAAAATCATTCGATTTCTTCAAACAACATTTCGTCAATCATGTTATTGAGGATATCCAACAAAAGGGTGCTACTGACAACTATGAAACAAGAGTCGGTGAAGGAATTCACCACGAGGTTCGTCAAGCTTACAAACAGACTAATTGCAAGAACACGGATCCACAGGTATGCTCCTGTCTTTCTATCAAAATCTGAAAATCACAC